TGTTATTATTATTATTGTTAATGATGATGATAATAATAATAATAATAATAATTGTTTTATAAACATTTTTATAGTGTAGTGTCAGTATATGATGCTTTTGAAAAAGCTCATGCTTTGTCTCCTTATATTTCTTCTATATGTGTTATTGCACATGATAAAGAAATATTCCTGTGGTATATTTAGCCACTCTTTTTCTGCAATTAAAAGCTTTTTAGCATTGTTTGAAGGGGTACTACACCGACCCATAGAAGGCCATGCATGTTATTGGGAGAATGTTGCAGAGATGATGATTTGATGACAGCAATGGGCTATTAAAACCCGCATTAGCCAATGAATGAGACCCGTAATGTGTGTGAGTACCAGATGTGAGCAGTGAACTATAGACGGACTGGCCGGGAGGGGACAGTACCTGGGAAGGTGTCCTGGAATTGCTGCACTGAGCTCCTCTGGTTGCTGTTTAGTTGCCCCAGGATAGTCGGGGTATCAGTGAGGGGATCTAGAGAGGCGAAGAAATGGCTGGCTGTAGACTGCATGTGGGGGGCAGTGTGGACTCCTGACTGGCGGCCTGAGCTGATCAATGAGGTTAGATCTGTGATCACAAAGGAGAAGATCTGTTAACAGATCCAGCTGTACCCGCTCACATGCCAGCATCCACCCCAACACTGTGCCCCACTCACCCCGCACCCCTATACCCCATATGCTGCGCACAGAGGTACAAAAGCACACATCTAGCGATCGCAATAGACGACTGTCTACAGGTAACACTCCACTCTACAATATATAGATAGTAATACTCAATTCTACTTAAAGATATCATTCGTAAAAAATAAATGTTCTCTCCTTTCTATATAAAATACAACATGCTACGCTCTTGCCCTTAAAAATGTATTGCAAATCTCAAATCTACACAGAATATGATGCAATATTCAACACTTCCTAAAAATACAAATTATAATATGCCTATCTCTCTGATGCTGTCCTGGAAGGTGACTAGAGAAATACAAATTATAATATGTACAGCTCGTTTTATATTAAATGCGACACATCATCCCATTGTACTTAGATATATGCAACATTCAGATCTACATAAGAGGACGAGGTAAAACGTTATTCTTCCTAAAAATACAATTCATGAAAGATATGTACTCTCCATTTTATATATAATACAACACGATATTCCATGATTGATATATATAGATAGATATAGATAGATATATCTATGTCTATCTATATCTATCTATATATATATAATATCTTTTGACAAGAGTTAAAAACGGACTAGATATTTCAAGCAAGGACAGGTTCGCTTATGTAGCCCTAAAATATATTTTATTTTTTATAAGATTTTTAGCTCTTGCTCCGTTAGTGAAGTGAAGGTGTCCTGTTATATTACCTATAATTGTATTGATATATATGATTGATGATTAATTATATTTTA